GACAGGAAATATTTGCTATGATTTAACTCGTTAGTCGGCCCGAAAACATCTTATGGCGTCGAGGGACTGCAGAGCTTTGGGGCAATTGTTGGTAGCGCTGCTCTCCTGCTCGTCTGTGGCCCTCTCTCTCGCGCGCCTCTGAGTTGCTCTCTTTCTGTTCGAAACATCTCAACATATTGAGGACTGCAGAGCTCGGCTAACTGTTGGCGGCGCCGGCTCCGCACGGCCTGCAGGCTTACTGCCTTCCCCACACGCCCCTGTGGTTTCCCAGCGGTTGCGAGAGATGCCATCTGCGCGAACGGCGCCGACGCCACGTGTAAAGCTACAGGCATAATTTCAGAGTTGGATCCGAAGCTTTCGTGAGTGCAGGAATTACTCTCTGGTTCTTTCGGTAAAGTCACGTGGAAAATAAGATTGAATAACAATAGAAGACGACGCTTCTGATTGCAACACAAGCAACCATCATCAGGTTAAGCATGTTCTACCTGACTTTACCGAAAGAACCAAAGAGTAATACTCTGTAGGAACCTCCTGGTTACTACACAGCAGCCCACAGGGGATTATTGTGTCCGTCCGTCTGTCGTGCATCCAAAAATGGGAGGGGTGGGGCTGGGTGGAGAGGGTGGGGAGGGGCTGGGTGGAGAGGGGAGGGGTGGGGCTGGGTGGGGAGGGGCTGGTCACCCAGTGGTGCCCTTATAAAACTCAACGTGTAACCTACTCACGCCGGCTTGTGCCCGCCCTCACAGTCGGGCATATTGTGCGGGACACACCACGTGGTGGTGCCGCCGTTGACCCTGGCCACTGACCGAGCAACCCAACGTTCCTACTACCAGCTCCCTCCGCAGGAGAACGTGTTTTCAGAGTTGTTTAAATGAAGGCTGTGCAGCGGTCCCTCGGTGTTTTACGATGCCATCGATTGACGATATTTCGACGAGCGATCCTGCCTCTATTGCGCTATGCATTTTCAATGAACGGCACGGTCTACGATGTCACGCGGACCTGCCAATTTCGGCCAATCGGAGCGCTCTTAAGTGGACTCGGCAGCAGACCCCGGCCAATCAGCGAGGTGCCCTTTTGTGAGAGTCTTGAGAGCAACCGGCTGATAGCTTTTCAACGTTCGATGTTGCGTTGGCTTCCGGAAACAGCTTTCCGAATAGTTTGTTGTTTTTTCATTCACTTCAAAGTTCAAGTAAGGTCAATAACAATGGCCCCTCAAATGAATGTGAGGAAAGACACGGAAGTGAGGGGAAACAAACATTCGCGTGCAAATTCAGCCAGGAAAGTGTTTTTTTTTTTTTTTAAAGAAAAGCACGAAAGAGCCTAATTAAGCAATCTTGATCCGATGCTTTCGCGACTCCAGGAATCCACGCTCTTTGATTCTTTCGCTAAAGTCACGTGGGGTTCAGCAGCTCCACTGCTGGATTATTTTTTTATTTTTTTCCGCCCGAGGACGACCGCTTGTGTCGCGATATAGCCGATTAAAGCCTCCGACGAGCATTTCCGATATTCGATTTGCGACCACGTCGGTTCACGGTCGTTTTCGTGGAACCGATTAAATGTCGTTAAGTGAGGGAGCCGCTGTGTTTTAATGCGACGCACGTTGGAACGTCCACTTTAAACACCTGATAACAAAATCCAAGAGGAGATGCCGACCAAAGCGTTTCGCGCGGACTATCCATCCTACGTCCGATCGTAAGCAAACGTTCTTTCCGTGTGCACCAAGTAGTGATTCGCCTGAGACCGTCAACTCGCCACGCTAGAGAACCCAGTTCGATCACATCCCAGTCAATGTGAGGCTAAAGGGATCTATGGCAACGTATGGGGGCTCAATGCGAGTCTACGGGTCTCTATGGGAATGTATGGGTTTCTGTGTAAGTCTATGGGTCTCTATGTGAGTCATTAGTGACTCGCCTGAGACCCTCAACTCGCCACGCTAGAGAACCCAGTTCGATCACATCCCAGTCAATGTGACGCTTTCGGGATTTATGGCAACGTATGGGGGCTCAATGCGAGTCTACGGGTCTCTATGGGAATGTATGCGTTTCTGTGTAAGTCTATGGGTCTCTATGTGAGTCATTAGTGACTCGCCTGAGACCCTCAACTCGCCAAGCTAGAGAACCCAGTTCGATCACATCCCAGTCAATGTGAGGCTAAAGGGATTTATGGCAACGTATGGGGGCTCAATGCGAGTCTACGGGTCTCTATGGGAATGTATGGGTTTCTGTGTAAGTCTATGGGTCTCTATGTGAGTCATTAGTGACTCGCCTGAGACCCTCAACTCGCCTAGCTAGAGAACCCGGTTCGATCACATCCCAGTCAATGTGAGGCTAAAGCGATCTATGGCAACGTATGGGGGCTCAATGCGAGTCTACGGGTCTCTATGGGAATGTATGGGTTTCTGTGTAAGTCTATGGGTCTCTATGTGAGTCATTAGTGACTCGCCTGAGACCCTCAACTCACCACGCTAGAGAACCCAGTTCGATCACATCCCGGTCAATGTGAGGCTAAAGCGATCTATGGCAACGTATGGGGGCTCAATGCGAGTCTACGGGTCTCTATGGGAATGTATGGGGGCTCAATGCGACTCTACGGGTCTATTTGACGTCTGGATTCGAACCCAGACTCTCAGCGGTGCCGGGCTAAGCGTCTCTGACCCTCCTGACCTCCCGAGCCACCCGGGGGCTACCTCCTCACCAAACTAAACGATGTGTTTATGCATATCGTTTATTGTTAAATTTGAATCACAGTTCCTATGATCACTGTTACATTGTTTTTATAGCTTTATTTCGGGCGATTTCGAAAACGTTTTGGTTTAGCCATGTTTGTTTGTTGTAGTGCAGAATTAGACTGATAACTTTAATCTAAATCGTCTCATGGTTGTTATTGTTTGACTTGCATCCCACTGGGATTTTTGGAAGACTTTGCTGGTTTTTTCCTGGATTTTTATGTTTCCGCATAGTCACTTTAAGATGTTTTCTTGTCCATGTTTTTGTTTGTTGCGGTTGCACACCGATTCAAGAGCCGAATTTTGGCTCACAGGGTTATACCTAACAAATGAAATTAACTGAATAATTTTGACGACTCCTCGCAACCACTGCCAAAGGGCCTCTTCTCCATCGCTACGCCCGCATCCTCCCCCAATCTTGCTCAGTCTCCGCAAACGCAGGCGAGGATGGGGGGGGGAGGCGAGTCCCTCGCGGGCCCGGCCCCACGTCAGTGTGGAGGTAGATGGGCCGTGCCGCCAGGGGAATGCGGCGGACGGCTTGAGGAGGGACCCCCACCCCCCCCCCCCCCCCGGGCTAGGATTGATCCGCCGGGTAAAATACCATTTGCGTCTGAGCTGAGATTTCATCAAGGACCCACCGCTGACCTCACGTGCCCCCTCCCACTCCCACACGTCCCTCACCCCCTCCCACCACCCCGGTGGTCCAGGTTCACCGGAAAGCCGCTGCCCATTTTCATCCCAACTGTGCCAACCGCCGGGGTCAGCGACGAGATGGACCGCCTGTTTCAGGGTCTCGCGGAGCGTTTGCAAAGCTTCTGCGTTCGAGAATGGCCCACGGAAGCGGATATCACGGAGTTACCGCCGAGATCCCTTGTGAACTCGGTCTAATTTGCATCTACGCGTCTCTATGCAAGTCTACGGGTCTCTATGTGTGTCTCCAGGTCTCTATGCGAGTCTATTGGTGTCTATGTGAGTCTACGGGTCTCTTTGTGTGTCTATTGGTGTCTATGCGAGTCTACTGGTGTCTGCGTGTGAATCTACAGGTCTCTATGTGAGTCTACGGGTCTCTATGCAAGTCTACGGGTCTCTATGTGAGTCTAGTGGTGTCTATGTGAGTCTATGGGTTTTTATGTGAATCTACAGGTCTCTATGTGAGTCTACGGGTCTCTATGTGAGTCTATTGGTCTCTATGTGAGTCTATTGGTGTCTATGTGAGTCTACGGGTCTCTATGTGAGTCTCCAGGTCTCTATGTGAGTCTCCAGGACTCTATGCTAGTCTACGGGTCTCTATGTGAGTCTACGGGTCTCTATGCTAGTCTACGGGTCTCTTTGCGAGTCTATTGGTGTCGATGTGAGTCTACTCATGTCTGCGTGTGAATCTACAGGTCTCTATGTGAGTCTACGGGTCTCTATGTGAGTCTATTGGTGTCTATGTGAGTCTACGGGTCTCTATGTGAGTCTACGGGTCTCTATGTGAGTCTACGGGTCTCTATGCAAGTCTACGGGTCTCTATGTGAGTCTACGGGTCTCTATGTGAGTCTACTGGTGTCTGCGTGTGAATCTACAGGTCTCTATGTGAGTCTACGGGTCTCTATGCGAGTCTATTGGTGTCTATGTGAGTCTACGGGTCTCTATGTGAGTCCACGGGTCTCTATGTGTGTCTCGGTGAGAACGGCTCTCTGCATGAGTCACAGGTGACCGGGCCAAAACCATCAACTCACTGCACGTGAAAAATCCAGCTTGACCACAGGCGGCTGCAACCTGGATTCGAAACCCAGGATCTCAGCGGAGCCAAGCGAGCGTCTCTGACCTCCGAGCCAGCGGGCCACGTCTTACCTACGATCGTAATGTAGGGGGCAAGGCCAGGCTACCACTCGGACACATCGCCGCGTCAACGCACGGCGCACAAGACAGAATCGCCGAGCAGCGGCGGCAAGGCGGATGAGGAGGAGGGAGAAGGAGGGGGAGTGGGAGGAGTGTGCGGAGGATGAGGAGTGGGAGGATGAGAATGAGCAGGAGTGGGAGGAGTGTGAGGAGGATGAGGAGGTCAGGAGGAGGATGAGGAGCGGGAGGATGAGAAGGAGCAGGAGTGGGAGGAGTGTGAGGGGGATGAGGTCAGGAGTAGGATGAAGAGGAGCAGGAGTGGGAGGAGTGTGAGGAGGATGAGGAGGTCAGGAGGAGGATGAAGAGGAGGATGAAGAGTGGGAGGATGAGGAGGATGAGGAGGGGGAGGAAGAGCAAAAGGAGGAAGAGGAGGCGGGCAGGGGGGCGGCACCTGTGAGGGCGAGTGCGGCTTGTGCGTGATCACGTCGGGCAGTCCTCCGTGCATCTGCTCCCACGCGTGCTGACCGCCTCCACCTCCTCCTCCACCTCCTCCTCCACCTCCTCCGCCTCCTCCGCCGCCGCCGCCGCCGCTCCCGGCGGAGGGCGAGGAGGGGAAGCAAGCGGCGGCGGCGGCCGCGGCGGCGGCCCGCAGCGCCCGCGGCACGAACTCGGGCGCGAGCGGGTTGAGCACGTACGACTTCTTGAGCTCCACGCCGTCGAGCTCCGCGCGGATCTGCTCCAGCGTGGTGCCCTGCAGGCTGCCGCTGTCGTGGCACGCGCCGATGAAGCGCTCCCAGAGCTTCCTGCCGCCGGCGTTGGAACGTGGTGGTGGTGGTGGTGGTAGAGGGGGGGAGGGGGGGGGTGGCAGACGCTCAGCAACCCGTTGGCACGACCGGATGTCCAAATGATGGGGCCCACTTTGTTGCGCGATCATTTGTGGCCAGGTCGCTTCTGACAAATTGTGTTACTACCTCAGTGGGTTTTGCCTGGTAGGATGGGGAATGGTTTAGTGTTACTGTGTGCGTTTGTGTGATTTGTTAACCTTTTTTCGTACTTTGCCGCACGACTATCGTGTTTTTGTACCGCTTGTTGTTGGAACGTTCTTAACCCGTGCCCCCCCCCCCCTTGCCACCAACATCACCATCACCTAGTACGCGGTAGTAGTTGCGTTACATAATATAGGGGGTAAAGCAGGTACAAAAAAAAAGGATCTCCCGTGTAGCCTTAACAGGCTGTAGGGGCAAGTGCTGTTAGCGAGCACCTATGAAGGCCGGCACGGCACACGAGGGGGTGGGTGGCCAGCACCACGCCCGGCCGCCTTTGTCTCCCCAGCGGCGATGTTTACACACCGCACCGGGTACTCATTTGAGGCTGAGTCGACCTAGGGGAGGCCCAGGACCGGTTCAGATAAATCGTCACCGGTGTTGGCCGTGAGCAGGAATCGAACCCGGGGCGCAGCACTTGCCCCAACAGCCTGCTACAGGCTATACGGGAGATCTTTGTCTTTTGTGCGGTTGGGCAAGGGGTTGGGAAGTTTACAAGATCGGGCATCAAACGATGCTGCTGCTGCTGCTGGCGCCAAGCGTAACGACGACGTGAGGGTTGCGGAGCGAATTATTCCGCGCAGGAAGTCCGGCCTGCGAGCCCCCCCACAATCAACCCCCGGCGCCGTCAGAACCACTCTAACCAGCAGCGCCGTCACCCCGCCGGCAACCGGCACCATCGCCGTTCACCGTCGCTCTCACCAGCGTCCACCGCCGCCACGACTTTCATCAGCACTGCCACCATAAGCACTGTCGCCGCCACCCACCACTCTTACGACCAGTATGATCACCAGCACCACCACCAGCAGCATCATCGTCATCAGCACCACCGCCACCAGCGGCGCCACCCACCAAGCACCATCACCACCACTCTCACGACCAGTACGATCACCGGCACCACCACCAGCAGCATCATCGTCATCAGCACCACCGCCACCAGCGGCGCCACCCACCAAGCACCATCACCACCACTCTCACGACCGGTACGATCACCAGCACCACCACCAGCATCATCGTCATCAGCGCTGCCACCACAAGCACCATCACCACCACCACCACCACCACTCTCACGACCGGTACGATCACCGGCACCACCACCACCACCAGCACCGGCCGCCACCAGCGCCGCCGCCGTCCTCCGCCGGCGAGGGTTGTCCGCTACCTGCACTTCCCGAGCGAGCAGAGCGCCACGGGGTCGCCCACGACGGCGAGCAGCGACTGCGCCCGCGTGATGGCCGTGTTGAGCAGCTTGGGGTCGGACAGGAAGCCCAGGTCCAGGTCGTCCAGGGGGTCCCGGCACTGTTCGGCGGACGCGCCGGCGCCCTCCCCCGTCGCCGCGACGACGTGCGCCGGCGCCACGGCCACGGCGCCGGTGTCCGCGCCGTGCCGCCGCGTGTGCCGCGTGCGTACCGTGCTCAGGAACAGCACGCGGAACTGCTTGCCTGCGGGCAAAAGGCAAGGACCCCCCCCCCGTAGAGCCCTCGCAAGACCGTCGGGGGGGGGGGGGGTCGGGCGCCGACGGAATTTCGGCACGGCGCGCGAGAGCGTGGGGGTGGCCGGCAGAGCGCCCGGCCGCCTTTGTCTCGCCAGCGGCGACGTTCACACATCGCACCGGGTACTTATTTGAGGTTGAGTCGACCTAGGGGTGGTGCAGGACCGGTTCAGATAAGCTATGGGAAAGCCCGGGACCGGTGAAGATAACGGTCACCGGTGTAGGCCATGAACAGGGATCGAACTCGGGTCGCCAGGTTCGCAGCGCAGCACGCGAACACCGGCACCACCACCGCGCTCCCTCGCTCACTCACTCTCCCTCTCTCTCTCTCGCACAGTGTCAAATAAGAATAGGTTTCATCCCTTCTGGCAATAATACAGGAGTCTGCGTTCAGCTGTTCAAACACCAAATGAATACCTTTTTGCAAGGAATCAAGTTGCTACGTAAACCGCGCACAGTACTTTTAGTAAACAAGCACACCAACGCGCTCTGATAATGATATGTGATGCATTGTTAACGTAGAATTGAAGCTTTCGTGACTGCATAAATTACTATACTCATTGGTTTTTTTCGGTAGAGTCACGTGTGTGATTTATTATTTTAATATAATTTTCTACATACGTGACTTTAACGAAAAATCCAATGAGCATGATGCATTGTCTCTGAAACCGATTGGTCTACACCAGAGACGCCTTCTGTATGGCCGAGTCTCACGACCAGCGTCAGACCAGAGAACAACGGCAAGAGGCAACGCAGAAACTACGCGCAGAGAGAGATTCGAGTCGGGAGTCGAACTCCTGGGACCCTTGTCGCCGCGACGACCGCGAGAGGGCGTCGCCGTGACGACCGCGAGAGAGCGTCACCGCGACGACCAAGAAAGCGTCGCCACGACGACCGAGAAAGCGTCGCCACGACGACCGAGAGAGCGTCGCTGCGACGACCAAGAGAGCGTCGCCGCGACGACCAAGAGAGCGTCGCCACGACGACCAAGAGAGCATCGCCGAGAGGACCGAGAGAGAGCGTCGCCGCGACGACCGAGAGAGAGCGTCGCCGCAACGACCGAGAGAGAGCGTCGCCGCGACGACCGAGAGAGGGCATTGCTGCGACGACCGAGAGAGGGCATTGCTGCGACGACCGAGAGAGAGCGTCGCCGCGACGACCGAGAGAGCGTTGCCGCGACGACCGAGAGAGGGCGTCGCCGCGACGACCGAGAGAGGGCGTCGCCGTGACGACCAAGAGAGCGCCGCCGCGACGACCGAGAGAGGGCGTCGCGGCGACGACCGAGGGGGCGTCACCACGACGACCGCGAGGGCGTCGCCGCGACGACCGAGAGGGCGTCGCCGTGACAACCGCGAGGGCGTCGCCGCGCCCACCTTGCACGTTGAGGACGCGCTCGACGCTGACGTCGTACAGCCGCTTCTTGCGCAGCTGCGAGCGGATGCGGAACACCTGGTCAGCGTACGGGGTCACGACCCCCACGCTGCCCTCGCCCAGCTTCCCCCACGCCACGGGCCACTTGCGGCACACCTCCTCCACGCGCTCCACCAGCTCAAACACCTGCCACACATGCACAGACACACGCAGGCAGAGACACACGCACGCAGAGACACACACACGCAGAGACGCACGCAGGCACAGACACACGCAGGCAGAGACGCACACACGCACAGACACACGCACGCAGAGACGCACCCACGCAGAGACACACACGCAGAGACGCACACACAGAGACGCACACACGCAGAGACACACACACGCAGAGACGCACACGCAGAGACGCACCCACGCAGAGACGCACACACGCAGAGACGCACACACGCAGAGACGCACACACGCAGAGACGCACACACGCAGAGACGCACACACGCAGAGACGCACACACGCACACACACGCAGAGACGCACACACGCAGGGACGCACACACAGAGACGCACACACGCAGAGATGCACACGCAGAGACGCACACACAGAGACGCACACACGCAGAGACGCACACGCAGAGACGCACACACGCAGAGACGCACACACGCAGAGACGCACACACGCAGAGACGCACACACGCAGAGACACACACACGCAGAGACGCACACACGCACACACACACGCAGAGACGCACACACGCACACGCACAGACGCACACACAGGGACAAGGTTAACGACAATCCTGCTGGCGGCGCAGTTTGTGGTGGTCATGGTGGTGGTGATGGTGGTGGTGGTGATGATGGATGTTGGTGCTGGTGGTGGTACTTGTGATGGTGGTGGCAACAGTGGTGCAGAAAGTGGTTCTCCTGGCCGTGATGATGGTGTCGGTAGACTTGGTGGTTCTGTTGGTGGTGCTGTTGGTGGTACTCGTGGTGGTGCTGTTGGTGGTGCTGTTGGTGGTACTGTTGGTGGTGCTGTTGTAGGTACTCGTGGTGGTGCTGTTGGTGGTGCTGTTGGTGGTACTCGTGGTGATGCTGTTGGTGGTGCTCGTGGTGATGCTGTTGGTGGTGCTGTTGGTGGTGCTGCTGTTGGTGGTGCTGCTGTTGGTGGTGCTGCTGTTGGAGGTGCTGTTGGTGGAGCTGTTGGTGGTGCTGCCGTTGGTGGTGCTGCTGGTGGTGCTGTTGGTGGTGCTGTTGGTGGTGCTGTTGGGGGTGCTGTTCGGGGTGGTGCTGTTGGTGGTGCTGTTGGTGGTGCTGTTGGGGGTGCTGTTCGGGGTGGTGCTGTTGGTGGTGCTCGTGGGGAGCGGCAGCGTAGCGATCAGCGCTACGCTGCCGGCGCCCCGAGTTCGATTCCCGCTCACGGTCAACATCGGTGACGATTATCTGAACCGGTCCTGCACCACCCCTAGGTCGACTCAACCTCAAATAAGTACCTGGTGCGGTGTGTAAACATCGCCACTGGGGAGACAAAGGCGGTCAGACGTGGTGCTGGCCACCCACCCCCTCGTGCACCACAGTGCCGGCCTTCATAGGTGCTGCTCGCTAACAGCACTTGCCCCAACAGTCTCCTAAGGCTACACGGGGGGGGGGGGGTCTTTTGTCTTTGGTGGTGTTGATGGCGTTGATGGTGAAGGGTACACCCCATTGCCACACCTCCGTGGGGTCGTGCAGATGTGGCCGAGCGGCTCGGAAAGGCAAAGCGTTGTGCCGGGCACCGCTGAGAACCTGGGTTCGTAGGCAGGTGTCAGCCACCCAACCACAGCCATTAAACCGGGTTCTCAAGCGTAGCATTGGAGCACCGATGCCCCACAGATTCGCACACACAGAGACCCATAGACTGCTCACACAGAGGACCCATAGATTCCTCACACAGAGACCCATAGACTGCTCACACAGAGACCCATAGACTCCTCACACAGAGACCCAAAAGGCATCACACAGAGACCCACAGACGTCTCGCGCAGAGACCCGTAGACTCCTCACACAGAGACCCATTGACCCACAAAGAAACCCATAGGCACACACAGAGACCCACAGACTTCTGACGCAGAGACCCATAGACTTGCACAGACCCATAGACTCACACAGACCCATAGATTCCTCACACAAAGACCCATAGATTCCTCACACAGAGACCCATAGGCGCACACGGAGACCCACAGACTTCTCACGCAGCGACCCATAGACTCTTCACACAGCGACCCATAGATTCCTCACTCAGAGACCCACAAAGAGACACACAGACTACTCAGATACCCCCCCCCCCCCACCCCGAGCATATCGAGCCCACCGCGCTGAACCCGGGTACATCTGTGGAAAAGAGCTTTATAGCCCATCGGATTCCTCCGGTGTGCATCGCGAATTCCCGAGCGTCACACCGGTGCCTCGGCGGCGAGGGAGGGGAGTTATAATTTTCTTTTTAAAACGCGGAAGCGGACGGGGCGCATGAACATATAAACTAAGAAGCCACTGAGCCGAGCCATCCTTTGATTGACCATCGCTTTGTTGAGTGAGTGATCGGGCGGGCGGGCGGGCAAGTCAGTCCCGGATGGTGGCAGGATTAGGAGCCCCTCCCCCCTCCCACCCCCCACAGCTCTCACGTCCGCCGGGCCCGTTCCTAAACCATTAAGTTGCCACTCCGTCGCCGCCCACGCAATGTCAAGGCGGAGTGCACTGAAGCTCACCGCTGCCACAGCAAACATGTTAATGAAGCCGACGTGTTTACGGGTGAGCGCGATGCGTCTTGGCAGAGCGGGAACGTCGGTCACGGTGGGGAGGGTGGGGAGGGGCGGGGGATTGACGCCCGAATGCAATTAGCGGGCGACAGCGGGAGGAGTTCGTTACTTAAACGTTCGCGCGTGCGCTACGTGCCGCGGAGAGACGGTTGGCGCGCCGGACTGGCGATTCGCGGCTCGATGGGTTCCAACTAAAAACTGGTCAACTTTTTATTTTGCCCAGGCAAAGCCCACTGAGCGATGGAGCGGGCGGCTCTTTCTCGGAAGCGACCGGGGCCGCCACAAATGCTAGCCCGACGAAGTGGCCGCCCATCGTCGTCGTGATGGTCATCACGCGGAAATGCATCGCGGTCAAATAACTCCGAACGCGCGTTTGGTTGTAAATGTGGAGGGGAAAAAAAACGGAGGACCCGAACAAAAATCCACGTGACCGCGGGGGAGAGAGAGAGAGAGAGAGACACGCAAACTCCAAATATACAGCAGCAGGTGTCAGGGTCGAGATCGAACCCACGACCTCCTGTACACCAGGCGAGGTAGTTAACATCTCATAGCCACCGTGATGATGATGAGAGAGACACGCAAACTCCAAATATACAGCGGCAGGTGTCAGGGTCGGGATCGAACCCACGACCTCCTGTACACCAGGCGAGGTAGTTAACATCTCATAGCCAATAATAGGGTTTTTCCCCTTTTTTCTGACAACAAAACTGAAACCTTTTTACGAGGATTCATGTCTACGAGGATTCATGTCCGCAGGTATTGTGGTTAATGCAGTAAGACGAATCCTTGCAAAAAAGCTTTCAGTTTTGTTGCCAGAAAAAAAAGGGGAAAAAACCCCTATTATTATAATTTGGTACTGGCAAAGGAGGTCTAATGACGTTGATCTCCCAGCCACCGTGGCGCCCGTGCTTTGACCCAATCTTCCCGGCGCGGGAGTTGACAGAACCGTCTGTTTGAGTCGGTCGCTTAAAAACCCGGAGCACAGAGAGAGGGGAAAGACGGCAGAGGGACGGGAGGGAGACCGGCGAACGCGACGGGTGCCGAGGGGGCTCCGCGATTGACCGCGTCGGCGGCTTTCGCGGCGACCGGCGTCATCGTCCACAATCGCGCCGACCGTGCGTCCCGTCAGCCGGCGCCGTGCGTTGCGTCGCTCTCCAACGACGGCGACGCCGCCGGGGCAGCGGGGGACTGGCAGCGCGAGTTCGTCGCGCCGCCGCCTTCATTGACATCGCCCGTGTCGGGTGGGAGAGCGGGAGGGGGGAGAGGAGGAGGTGGAGGAGGTGGAGGAGGTGGAGGAGGAGGTGGAGGAGGTGGAGTTCACGACGAAAAAACATTCGACTCGCGCGATCTGAGACCCGAATAACGCAATCAAACAACGGAATCAAGACCCGAGGCGAAGGGGTGAGCGCAAGGGAGGCGAGGGGAGCGAAGCCGAGAGGGAGACGCATGAGAGCGATCACAGGGGGGAGCGGGGGGGGGGGGGGTGGAAATCAATCAGATTTTCTCCGAGACGTCGTATCGAGCGCCGGGGGAAGACGCAGCGGCAGCGTCAGCGTCAGCGTCAGCTTCCGGCCGCGACTGCCGGCGTAGTTGCCGTGAGCTGGTTCTGCGCTCGAGGCTTCAGCGCGGCAGCCAAGAGTCGTCGCCTCCTGTGGGGCGCTGCGCTCTGCGGCTACGACAGCGACAACAACCGTCCCCAGCTATGACAGCTGCCCCCAGCGACGACAGCCGTCCCCAACTACGACAGCAGCCCCCCCACCTATGACAGCCGCCTCCAGCTATGACAGCAGTCCCCAACTATGACAGCCGCCCCCAGCTACAACAGCCGACCCCAGCTACGACAGCCGCCCCCAACTACGACAGCCATCCCCTGCGACGACAGCCGTCCCCATCTACGACAGCCGCCCCCGCTACGACAGCCGTCCCCAGCTATGATAGCCGTCCCCAGCTACGACTGCCGCCTCCAGCTGCCCCCAGCAACGACAGCCGCCCCCAGCGACGACAGCAGGATTGTGCGAGCGCGTCTCTCTCGGCGGGGTTCACGATGGCTGCGTCGGACGCACCGGCAGCAGCGCCGTCGCCGTGATCGCCACGACTGCCACCTTTATACCATCACCTCAACCACCTTCAAAGACAAACATCCCCCTTAAACATCCCCCCATTGGGGCAAGCGCCGTTGGCGAGCCGCGCCTACGAAGGCCGGCACGGCACACGAGGAGGTGGGTGGCCAGCACCGCGCCCGGCCGCCTTTGTCTCCCCAGTGCTGACGTCTACACACCGCGCCAGGGAATAGTTTGAGGCCGAGTCAACATAGGGGAGGCCCGGGACCGGTTCAGATATTCATCACCGCCGTTGGCCGTGAGCGTGAACCGAAGTCGGGTCGCCGGGTTCACAGTGCAGTGCTCCGACAACTGCGCCAACGCTTCCCCACCGCGATCGCCACCACGATCACCACCACGATCACCACCACCACAATCACCACCACCACAATCACCACCACCACAATCACCACCACGATCACCACCACCACAACAGTAACCACCACCACCACAATCACCACCACGATCACCACCACCACAACAATAACCACCACCACCACAATCGCCACCACCACGATCACCACCACAATCACCACCACCACAACAATAACCACCACCACGATCGCCACCACCACCACCACAACAATAACCACCACCACGATCACCACCACCACAACAATAACCACCACCACCACCACGATCACCACCACAACAATAACCACCACCACCACAACCACCACGATCACCACCACCACCACGATCACCACCACCACCACCACAATCACCACCACCACAATCACCACCATCACAACAATAACCACCACCACAATCACCACCACAATCACCACCACCACAATCACCACCACCAAGATCACCACCACCACAATCACCACCACCACAACAATAACCACCACCACCACAATCACCACCACCACCACGATCACCACCACCACCACGATCGCCACCACCACGATCCCCACCACCACGATCACCACCACCACCACCACGATCACCACCACCACAACGATCACCACCACCACCACGATCACCACCACCACAACGATCACCACCACCACAACGATCCCCATCACCACCACGATCACCACCACCACAACGATCACCACCACCACAATCCCCATCACCACCACCACCACGATCCCCACCACCACGATCACCACCACCACCACCACGATCGCCACCACCACAATCACCACCACCACCACGATCCCCACCACCACAATCCCCACCACCACAATCCCCACCACTACCACCACCACCGCCGCCGCCCCCTGCTTAGCGTGCGGGAGGGGCGTCTGCCTTGCCTCGGCGTTGTTGTAGAAGGCCGTGCTGTTCTTGTCCTGCACCGCCTCCCCGCGCGCCGTGTAGAACGCCAGCGGCTGCAGCTCGCCATGCGCCGGCTGCCGTCCGCTGGCCGCGAGCTTCCCCTCGTAGAACAGCTCCGACGTGAGGCTGGGGGGGCGGGAGGAAGACAAAAAAAACTTCAAAACGCAACCACGACGTTTGTTGTGCCGTCGTTAGCGTCGACCACGACGGTGGGGTGGAGGCATCACATCCGTGACCGCCCGACGTCGTCCCGCGATTACGGGCGCCACGTTGGCTGTGGGATGTTGACGACCTCGCCCGGTGTGCAGGAGGTCGTGGGTTCAATCCCGACCCTGACGCCTGCTGCTGTAGATTTGGAGTTTGCGTATCTTTCTATCTCATCATCACGGTGGCTAGGAGAAATTAACTACCTCGCCTGGCATACAGGAGGTCGTGGGTTGGATGCAGACCCTGACGCCTGCTGCTGTAGATTTGGAGTCTGCGTGTCTCTCTCTCATCATCATCACGGTGGCTAGGAGAGATGTTAACTACCTCGCCTGGCATACAGGAGGTCGTGGGTTCGATGTAAACCCTGACGCCTGCTGTATATTTGAAGTCTGTGTGTCTCTCTCTCACCATCATCACGGTGGCTAGGAGATGTTAACTACTCGCCTGGTGTGCAGGAGGACGTGGGTTCAATAATGACCCTGACGCCTGCTGCATATTTGAAGTTCGCTCCAGTTAGTGATCATCAGCAACTACAGCCCTTCTACCATGAAAATGGGTGCAATAGCGGCGATGAGATGTTAACTACCTCACCGTGTATGCAAGAGGTCGTGGGTTCGTTCAGGACCCTGGCGCTTGCTCTATATTTGGAGTTTGTGCGTCTCTCTCTCTTTCCCCGGGGTCGCGTGTATTTTTCTCCGGGACCTCCGGTTTCCCCCTCCCCCCCACATTTACAATCAAAGTGCATTTCGAGAATTTGGCTGCAAATTTCCACGTGATGATGACAAGCCTCTCCTTTGTGAAGCGATAATTCGTGATGGCCAGGTCGCTTCTGGAAAGGAGCTATATACAGCTCAGTGGGCCTCACCTGGGTAACATTTGAATAAGTAATATTTTTTTATAAACTCTTTTAGAAAAACACGCTTTTTATGAAATGGCAGAACTCCACAACTCCAGGAAGTGGCCCCGAAGCTTCCCACAACGTAAGGGGACCGTGACCAATTACAGCCAACGTCAGTTGACTGTGGACACTTAGACCCAAGCCGAAACATAACATGTAAAAAATAATGTTTCAAAATATATCTATTTTTTATGATATAGTATTGTCATCAAGTTTGCTGTCGATACCACATTGGGAAGTGGGTTAAAATTGAGTTACAAGATTTGAGGATACAACAACAACGACAACAACAACAACAGACAGAGTGAGTTAAATGAAAGCGTGTAAATAAAAGTTTTCATCGTTTCGTTTTATCTGTGCGCATGCAGACGACGTGGCCCAAGCTGCCGCGTAACCCACGGCCTCGTCCTCCCCGGCGGGGAGGAGGAGGCCACCGTGAACTCCGACCGCAACATCAGGACGAAGAAGATGACGACGACAGATGAGGAGGAAGAGGAGGAGCAGCAGCAGCAGGAAGAGCATCAGCGAAAGGCGGGGATTGGACGCAAGGGAATCTATGGCCGTGGCGTTTCCGTCTAGACCAGGGGTCCCCAACCCCCAGGCCACGACGGCAGCACCAACGCCGCAGCTCCGCGCGAAGTTCCGTGAGCGTCGTGTCGATCGCCCCCCCCCCCCCCCCCCCCCCGGCGGCAACGAGTGGCCCCGGTTTGGCGCGGGTGTAGCCACCGCGCCGTCGGGCGACTCGCCCGACGTCCCGACGACTCGCCCGCGATGCGTCACCCCCCCCCCACCCCCACCCCGTTCCCCCTTGCCGCAGAAATGTCGCCCGTTTGCCGACCGCTCGCGAGCTCGCGCGGTAAAAACTAAAAAAACCAAAAACGTCCTTTGCATTTCACGTCACTCTTTCACTTTCGCGCCAAAACTCTGCAACGAAGCTGCCCTCCCCCCCTTTCCCCCCCCCCCCTTCGTTCGCTGACATTTAATTCCGCGACGCTGCCCGCGGAAAGAACGAGAATAATCTTTCCAAATGCTCGCCCCATCCATCACGCACGCGCGCCATCAAGCTATCCCGGCCCACAGCGCCAACTCAGAGAGCAGCCCGCAGTGCAAATGAGCAGGAGAGCACGGGATGAAAATGTCTCGGATGCACACACACGCACATGCACGCACGCACACACACACACGCACGCACGCACACACACGCACACAAGTTTTGTGAACGAGCACCAATTAAGGCCTCCACGGCGCATGACCAACACCACGCTCGGCGGCCTTTGCCCACCCGGTGGCGATGTTTACTACGCACCGCACCCAGGTTCTCATTTGAGGCCGAGTCGACCTAGGGGAGGCCCACGGACCGGTTCAGATAATCGTCACTGGTGTTGACCGTGAGCAGAAATCCACGTCGGTATCGCCGGATTTCGTAGCGCAGCGCAGGTCGCTAACCGTGCAGACACACAGACCCACACAGACACACACACCCACACAGACACACACAGACAGAGACACAGACCCACAAAGACACCCACACAGACAGACACACACCCACACAGAGACACAGAGACACCCACACAGACAGACACCGACAGAGACACACACACACCCACACAGGCAGACGGACACACACCCACACAGACAGACACAGACAGAGACACCCACACAGACGGAGACAGAGACACCGACAGGGACACAGAGACACAGAGACACCGACAGAGACAAAGAGACACCGACAGAGACACAGAGACACCGACAGAGACACAGAGACACCGACACAGAGACACCGAGAGAGACACAGAGACACCGACAGGGACACAGAGACACAGAGACACCGACAGAGACACAGAGACACCGACAGAGACACAGAGACACCGACAGAGACACAGAGACACCGACAGAGACACAGAGACACATAGACACCGACAGAGACACCGACAGAGACACAGAGACACCGACAGAGACACCGACAGAGACACAGAGACACCGACAGAGACACCGACAGAGACACAGAGACACCGGCATGCGCTCCAACGTAACCACCACCGTGAGTCACTACCGCTGTCACCGCGCCGCCCACTCCCGCTCCCGCTCCCAACCCGCGCCGATCGCGGGCCACGGGGGGCCAGGCTACCTGACGATGTCGGTGTGCGAGCGGTAGTTCTCGCAGAGGAGCACACGGCAGGGGAAGGCCGGCGGGTAGAGCTCGTACAGCCGCTCCAGCAGCGACAGGTGGAGCCCCTTCTTGCGCGCAAACTGGCTGTGCACCACCGGGGATAGCTGCTCGCACACACGCAGAGACGCACACACACACACACACGCACACACGCAGAGACGCACACACGCACACACACACACGCACACACGCACACACACACACGCACACACGCAGAGACGCACACACGCACACACACACACGCACACACGCAGAGACGCACACACGCACACGCAGAGACGCACACACGCACACGCAGAGACGCACACACGCAGAGACGCAGAGACGCAGAGACGCACACACGCAGAGATGCACACACACACACACGCAGAGACGCACACACACACACACGCACACACGCAGAGACACACACACACACACAGAGACGCACACACACACACGCACACACGCAGAGACGCACACACCCACACGCAGAGATGCGCACACACACACACACACGCAGAGACGCACATACGCAGAGACGCACACACGCACACGCGCAGAGACGCACACACGCACACACGCACACACACGCAGAGACGCACACACGCAGAGACGCACGCACGCACGCGAATGTAAACGCACGCGCAAACCGGCTATCGACCAACGCGGACAGCCGCACGCACGAGCAAACTGGCTATGCACTACCGGGGAGACAGCTGCAGAGACACACGCACAGACCCCACTGCAGTCGTCCAAAAACTCCGCGATCAAACAGAGGAGTGCGTGGAAGGGAGTGGAGCGAGATGACGTGAGGGCGACGAGGGGAGGGAGGCCACGTGGGCCGAGCGAGTTCGCGCAAGACGTTCTTTAGGACGTTCGAGCGCGGATCTTGAGCACGGTGGCGCGGGCGCCGGCGAAGGGCGCGGTGGCGGTGGTCTCAATTCCACGGGCACGGGAACCGGCACGTCGCGACCGCCGCGGCGGGGCGGTCATGTAATTAGCGGCCACGGAGAAGCGGGCATCGCCTCGTGCGGGCGAGAACTCCCAAACCCCCAACCCACCCCCCCCCCCACCCCCGCCTGCCACCGTGCACCACCACAACGCTCGACACAAAAATGATTTAGATTTTTTTTTTGCTGTTTCAGCAACGACAACGACGACGACGTTCCCCACCCCCCCGCTCTTCGTTCCCCAATTGTTCAAGGCAAAAGTCATTTTCGTTTTCACGAGCGTCCGCTAAAGGTATCCAGCGGCTTAAACGTTAAAAAAAAACTAAAAAATACCGTTGTGACACACACGCGCACGCGCGTACGTGCGTGCGTGCGTGCGTGTCACAGAGATAGAGATCCCCCCTATAGCTTGTGCAGACTGTTGGGGCAAGTGCTGTTAGCGAGTAGCACCTCTGAAGGCCGGTGCTGCACACGAAGGGGTGGGTGGCCAGCACCACGCCGGGCCGCCATTGTCAACCTCCTGGCGGTTCGGGTCGACTCCGGTTCTGATAACCCGGCGACCCAGGTTCGATTCCCGCTCACGGCCACCAACACCGGTGACGATTATCTAAACCGGTCCTGGGCCTCCCCTAGGTCGACTCGGCCTCAAATGAGTACCTGGGTGCGGTGTGCAGTAAACATCGCCACAGGGGAGACAAAGGCGGCCGGGCGTGGTGCTGGCCACCCACCCCCTCCGTGTGCCACAGTGCCGGCCTTCACAGGCGCGACTCGCTAACAGCAACAGTCCGCTCAGGCTACACGGGGGATCTTTGTCTTTGTCGTTTTGCCATCAGCGAGTACGAAGATGCATCGGCGGGGTACGTCCCAGCGGTTCGGAGCAATTCAATAGCAATTTGGCGAAGGGCTCGGGCGGAAAAATAGCGGCGGTCAAAAGCGAAAAAGGCTTCGGGAATGGCGGCGACGGAACATTTTATCAAATCGCTGGGGCAGACGCTACGCGACGTGAGGAATCGCCAAGCCCCTTGACCGGATTCTGAAGATTCGAGGGGGGGGGGGGAGGGGGGAGGAGGCGCATTGCATTTGAAGCAAAGACTGCAAGGTTGAACTTGCAGGGATGTGCGCCTTGTGGTGATTGCGACATCTCGTTCCAGAGCTGTGGCCACACCGCCCAAGTTATGGACCGTCGTGAGAATAGTCTGGAAAATCCGGGAAGCTTTCAGGCATGAACAATCCCACGCACACTCCTGCCTCTCCCCTCTCATCTCACTCCACTCCCCTCCACGCACTCTCCTGCCTCTCCCTCTCATCTCACTCCACTCCCCTCCACTCACTTTCCTGCCTCTCCCCTCTCATCTCACTCCACTCCCCTCCACGCACTCCCCTGCCTCTCCCCTCTTACCTCACTCCACTCCCCTCCACGCACTCCCCTGCCTCTCCCCTCTCACCTCACTCCACTGCCCTCTGCACCAAAGTGCACCTGCAGAGTACTTGACTGGGCTTGCGACACAGCAAACACTCGGAACCAGAAGGTGGGACAGGTCGGAGGGTTGTGGCGGAGAAGAAGAAGCGAAAAGTCGGGAGTGGACATAGGGAGGGGGGGAGGTGGGTAGGGAGGGGGAGAGGGGGGTTGAGAGGGCAGTGCGGGGGGGGGGTCAGGAGGTCACGTGAGGTCAAGCACCTGCATGTGGTCCCCGGCGAGCACGACGCGCGTGTCGCCCGTCGCGAGGGCGAGCGCCATGATGGTCTCACACTCCATCGCCTGGGCCGCCTCGTCGATGAGGATGTGCGTGAAGAAGCCTGCGCCGGGTGGGGGGGGGGGGGGGTGAGACGCGAGGAGCCTTAACGGGAGCTCGCCGACGAGCGGCCGTCTCCGCGGGAGCGGCGGCCCCCCGCAAGCCTGAGCCGTGTGGTGGGGGGGGGGGGGGGAGCGGCGGCCCCCCGCAAGCCTGAGCGGTGTGGTGGGGGGGGGAGCGGCGGACCCCCGCAAGCCTGAGCCGTGTGGTGGGGGGGGGGGGGGGGGAGCGGCGGACCCCCACAAGCCTGAGCCGTGTGGTGGGGGGGGAGCGGCGGCCCCCCGCAAGCCTGAGCGGTGTGGTGGGGGAGGAGCGGCGGCGCCGCGGTTAGCGCCACGCCGCGCTACGAACCCGGCGACCCGAGTTCCATTCCCGCTCGTGGCCAACACCGGCGACGATTATCTGAGCCCGGTCCCTGGGATCTCCCCTAGGTCGACTGGGCCTCAAACGAGTACCTGGTGCGGTGTGTAGTAAACATCACTGCAGGGGAGACAAAGGCGGCCGGGCGTGGTGCTGGCCACCCACCCCCTCGTGTGCCGTGCCGGCCATCATAGGTCCTGCTCGCTAACAGCACTTGCCCCTACAGTCTGTTGAGGTTATACAGGGGATCTTTGTCTTTTTGTGGTTTCCTGCGGGCAGATTGAGCTGGCAGAGCGTGCGTGCTTACGTGTGCGTGTGTGCGTGCGTGTGTGCGTGTGCACGCGTGTGTGCGTGCGTGTGTGCGTGTGCACGCGTGTGTGCATGCGTGTGTGCGTGTGGGTACCCGCGGGCAGGTTGAGCTGGCAGAGCGTGCGCGACGTGCTGAGCGTGGTGACAACCACGCGGCTCTTGAGGACGTCCTCCTGCACGGGGGGCAGGAACTCGGAGCGCGAGGGCGACATGAGGCAGTACTGCTGCACCACCGGGTGCACGCTCTTCACCCAGCGGTGCCGGTAGTACACCCTGCACACGGCACGCGCACGACCGCATCAACGCCGGTACACCGCGTGTACACACGCGGAGCCACGCAGGTACACCGCGTGTACACACACGCGTACACCACGTGTATACGTGGTGTATCTGCGTGCCTACGCGTGTGTACACGCGTAGGCACGCAGGTACACCACGTGTACACACGTGTACGCACGCTTAGCAACGCAGATACCCCACGTGTACACACGCGTAGCAACGCAGATGCACCACATGTACACGTGTACACACTGCAACGCAGATGCACCACATGTACACATGTACACATACAGGAGAGCAGATACAACAGCCACCATTCACCACAAAGTGGAGGTGACGTCACCACAGCACATGTGCCATGCTAGGTGCACCGTGAAGCCGCGCGAAGTGTCCAACGCTCGCTCACGGGAAGTTACGGGACAGACGTAGGTGTTCATGTTGACCGACTGAGATAACGGACAGATGACCTGTGCCCCCCCCCCCCCCCCACTGTGCCAACACCGATACACCAATAACAATACCCGCGCTTCGCCACTAAGCGACGGTGACGTCACCACGGCGCCTGTGCCAGGCATGGTGCACGTTGAGGCCACCACGTGAAGCGTTGAAGGCTCGCTGCTGGCAGGAGGTCACGGGACAGACCCAGCAAGTGCCATGCGTCGGCTGACTGTGGTTACCGGTAGATGCACCACCAGCTGCACCCCCTACTGTGCCAGGCTAGGTGCAGGAGGAGGTCACGGCACAGACCCAGCAGGTGCCATGCGTCGGCTGACTGTGGTTACCGGTAGATGCACCACCAGCTGCACCCCCGACTGTGCCAGGCTAGGTGCAGGAGGAGGTCACGGCACAGACCCAGCAGGTGCCAAGGGTCGGCTGACTGTGGTTACCGGTAGATGCACCACCAGCTGTACCCCCGACTGTGCCAGGCTAGGTGCAGGAGGAGGTCACGGCACAGATCCAGCAGCTGCCATGGGTCGGCTGACTGTGATTACCGGTAGGTGCACCACCAGCTGTACCCCCCGACTGTGCCAACTTGCTGCATTTTAGCCGCCTGGCGCTCCCGCCCGTGTAAACACACACAGAAGGACATCGCTACGCCACACGTGCTCACCATACAGCGACACAGACTGTGATCGCGCTCATTTTGCAGGCCAGCGCTGCGCATAACTCGGCCTGCTCAAATTCATATCACGGGCCGTACGAAACGAAGCCTTGGCCGTGGGGCCGCAGATTCCCCGCACTCGCGCCCACAGGACTGCCGTACCTGAGCGGCCTGGCCTCGGGATTTCCGCCCTCCACGTGCGGGTGGAGGTAGTCCTTGATGTACAGGTCTGCCGCGCTGTTGGAATGCGTGCAGATGAGTATCCTGCGGGGCGGACAGGTTTGGCGGCGGGTGAGCGAGAGCGGGAGACGGCACGCGGGCAATTAAAGAAGCGTCACCTCTCCGCAGCCGAGCGCCGCGGTGGCGCCGCCGGCGTCGAGGTCGTCCAACGGGACGCGGAATCGGTTCGGAATCTGTCGAGGGAAAACGAGCGGCTCCCCTCGTGCTACGAGAACGGCGTGAAGGAAGCGGATGCCGTAGAGCCGCTTCCGAGACCGAGCGGCGTCACGGAAGCGTACCATACATACAGACGTACGTATGTACCGCGTACTATACATACAGACGTACAGCGTACCATACATACAGACGTACCGCGTACCATACATACAAACGTATGTACCGCGTACCATACATACAAACGTATGTACCGCGTACCATACATACAGATGTACCGCGTACCATACACACAGACGTACGTATGTACCGCGTACTATACATACAGACGTACAGCGTACCATACATACAGACGTACCGCGTACCATACATACAAGCATATGTACCGCGTACCATACATACAGATGTACCGCGTACCATACACACAGACGTACGTATGTACCGCGTACTATACATACAGACGTACAGCGTACCATACATACAGACGTACCGCGTACCATACATACAAGCATATGTACCGCGTACCATACATACAGATGTACCGCGTACCATACACACAGACGTACGTATGTACCGCGTACTATACATACAGACGTACAGCGTACCATACATACAGACGTACCGTGTACCATACATACAAGCATATGTACCGCGTACCATACATACAGATGTACCGCGTACCATACATACAGACGTACGTACCGCGCACCATACACACAGACGTACCGCGTACCATACATACAAGCATATGTACCGCGTACCATACATACAGATGTACCGCGTACCATACATACAGACGTACGTACCGCGCACCATACACACAGACGTACCGCGTACCATACATACAAACGTATGTACCGCGTACCATACACACAGACGTACATACGTACCACGTACCATACATATAGACGTATGTACCGCGCACCATACACACAGACGAACGTACCGCGCACCATACGTACAGACGTACGTACGTACCGCGCACCATACAGACGTACGTACGTACCGCGCACCATACGTACAGACGTACGTACGTACCGCGCACCATACGTACAGATGTACGTATGTACCGCGTACCATACGTACAGACGTACGTACGTACCGCGCACCATACGTACAGACGTACGTACGTACCGCGTACCATACATACAGACGTACGTACGTACGTACTGCGCACCATACGTACAGACGTACGTACGTACCGCGCACCATACGTACAGACATACGTACCGCGCACCATACGTACAGACGTACGTACGTACCGCGTACCATACGTACAGACGTACGTACGTACCGCGCACCATACATACAGACGTACGTACGTACGTACCGCGCACCATACGTACAGACGTACGTACCGCGTGTGCTGCTGCCTCAGCGCCTGCTTGGTGGCCTGCGCCAGCGCGAACGTCTTGCCCGTGCCGTAGGGCCCCAGCAGCAGCACGGGCGGCAGGGGCACGGCGAGCGGCGCCGTCGCCGCCAGCACGGCCTCCTTCTGCTTGGCGTTGAGCCGTGGGTCCAGCTGGTCGTCCCACTGCCTGCGCACGCGCGCCAACGCCAGGGGGAGGGGGCGGGGGGGGGGGGGCCGGCTTATCGTCGTCGTCGTCGTCGTCGTCGTCGTCATCATCGTGCGGAAATCTATAGCAGCGGACAAATATCTCTGAACGCGTGACGTTGATTCGGAGATGCGGAGGTTGTACACCGGAGGATCCCGGAACAAAAATCCACGCGACCACGGGGAGAGAGACACGCAGGCTCCAAATATACAGCAGCAGCAGCAGGCGTCAGGGGTCAGGATCGAACCCACGACCTCCTGTACACCAGGCGAGGTAGTTAACATCTCCTAGACACCGTGATGATGATGAGAGAGAGAGACACGCAAACTCCAAATACAGCAGGCGTCAGGGGTCGGAATCGAACCCACGACCTCCTGTACACCAGGCGAGGTAGTTAACATCTCCTAGCCGTCGTGATGATGATGAGAGACACGCAAACTCCAAATATACAGCAGCAGGCGTCAGGGGGTTGGGATCGAACCTACGACCTCCCGCATACCAAGCAAGGTAGTTAACATCTCGCCACCGTGACCGCCCATTATAATTGACCGTAGTTATAACTCTGGCGATGGCGTGAGGTTCAGAAGCACGGTCGCTTCAATGACGAACGACCAACAAAAAGACTCAAAAGTGCGTAAAAAGGAAGCGTGGAGAGAGAGAGAAGCGTGATTTTTTAATCTCGATTGAAAACTAATTTCTTAAGAACTGCGTGTGTGTGTGTGTGTGAACTAGAAAACAAACACGGGTGGGGTTCTAGAGGACACCATCCCAACTAATTAAGAAGAGTGAGGAGCCAGAATTGGGGAGGGCACGTCGCGTAGCGGCCGGAAAGGAACAATGGCCGGCGGTCGAGACTAACGACAGAGTGGCAGTCGAAGGAGGAGCAGCAGGAGGAGCAGCAGGAGGAGGAGGAGCAGCAGGAGGAGCAGCAGGAGCAGCAGCAGGAGGAGCAGGAGGAGGAGCAGCAGGAGCAGCAGGAGGAGCAGCAGGAGGAGGAGGAGCAGGAGAAGCAGCAGGAGGAGCAGCAGGAGGGGCAGCAGGAGGAGCAGCAGGAGGAGCAGGAGGAGGAGCAGGAGGAGGAGGAGGAGCAGCAGGAGGAGGGGGAGGAGCAGGAGGAGCAGCAGGAGGAGCAGCAGGAGGAGCAGCAGGAGGAGGAGAAGCAGGAGCAGGAGGCACGGACGCGTCCACTGCGGAGACGGAGCGACAGCGAAATTGTCCTCGTGCCACGCGGACGCTGGACGCTGGGGGGTGGGGGGGGGGGGGCGACCGACACGGACCTGTGTGGACCCCAGGGGATGACAGGCGGGGTGGCGACGGCGGGGAAGAGCAGAGCGGGCTCGGGGATGCGGTCCACGGCGAAGTGCATCTCGCACAGGGGCAGCCGGTTCAGCTGGAACTGCAGCTCCACCTGCGGGGCAGAGAGCGGCACGACAGCGTCAACGGCGGCGGCCGCCATTCGCTGCCGCTCGGCTGCCGTCACCGCGGCGCTCGTGCCGGGCTGCGTGCACCTCGAGGCCGCGCGAAGTGTCGGAGGTCACGGGACTGACCCCCAAGCAGGTGCCATGGGGCCGACCGACCGAGATGACTCGCAGATGCACCGGCCGTGACCCCACAATCATGCCAACTTGCCGTGTTTTAGCCGCCTGGCGCTCCGTTTATTGTTGCGAGCGTCGCTCCTATGCCCTCCGCCGTTGGGAACGCAAAGACAAAGATGCCCCGTGTAGCCTTAACAGACTGTAGGGGCGAGTGCTGTTAAGCGAGCAGCACCTACGAAGGCCGGCACGGCGCACGAGGGGGGTGGGTGGCCAACACCACGCCCGACAGCCTTTGTCTCGCCAGTGGCGATGTTTACACACCGCACCGGGTACTCGTTTTGAGGCCGAGTCGACCTAGGGGAGGCCCAGGACCGGTTCAGATAACCGTCGCCGGTGTTGGCCATGAGGGGGGAATCGAACCCGGGTCGCCGGGTATGACAAAATGCACCCGAAACAAAACGGCACATCGCATGTACAAAAGCTCTCGGGCCTTATCCAACACCACCGGCTCAAAAGAGCCGAGAATGTCAACGGTGCAGAGGCAATCCCGCCTCACGCACGGACCTCCCGGAGGCGCACGGCGGCAGCGAAACCCCTGCCGACCGCGCCGTAACCGATGAGCCCCGGCGGTGACGAAGCCGGTCTACGGCCGTGCCTTCGTCTCGCTGCCGCCTTCCACGGCAGCCGCCCCGTGGTCTCAACCGCCCCGAGAAGGAGCCGACAGCGGCCAACGCCTCGGCAAACCGACCCCGCGCGGCGCGGGGCACGACCACAACCCCGCCCCCGCCGCCGTGCGCGTGCGGGGCGGAGCAAACCGTGCACCGCATCCTACAAGTCCTTGCCCGATCCGCAAACTCAGCGGGAGGGGGAGGCGGCCTGCTCACACAGCAGGACCGGAAGCCACGGCCCTAGGCCTAGGGGACTTTCGCATTGGCGAAGGAAACAAAAGTGCCGCCTGTTGGCACGGGGCACGTTTCTCTCGGGGTTGGCGGCTGAACCCACGGACAATGGCCACGTGGCCGCTCCTCGCTTCCCCTGCATTATCGAAGCTTCTCGCTCAAGCCCCGCCCGCCCACCGTCGCCGCCCCCACCTTGATCTGCTGGTCGGCGCGCAGCCCCAGCTCCTGGCAGCACTGGCGCGAGATGCGCAGGAAGACGTACTCCTTGGTCTTCTCCTCGATCATCGCCTGGTACACCTTGAGCCCCAAGCGCCTCGCCCGCCTGCCCTCCTCCTCCTCCGCCGCCGCCGGCGTCGCCGCCGCCGCCGCCGCCGCCGCCGGCGCCGCCTTCTCCGGCCAGCCCCTGTCATTCATCTGCTGCCTCTGCAGCTGCAGCAGGTGCTGCTGCTGCAGGTGCTGATGATGGTGCCGGACAACCTCCTCAATCTCCAGCGAGCCGTCCTCGCTCAGCCGCCGCGCGGCCGCGTCGTGGTCCTCCGTCGTGTCCGTGGCGATGGCGGCGGTGGCGCCGGCGGCGCCGGGCCGCGCCACCGACACGGGCCTCAGGAGCACGGTGCCGACGCTGGTGGTGAGCAGGCGGCCGTGCGCCGTGTCCTCCGACAGGCTGCGGCCCAGGCGGAAGCGGGCGAAGAGTTCGCCGCCCTGAGCGAACTTGGCCCCGCCCGACGTGCCCGTGAGCATGTAGCTGCGCACCAGCTGCAGGTCGGCGCGGATGTTGAACCTGGAGAGACGGGGGAGCGGGACAGGTGGGTTCGGGGGTGAGGGTGGCCGCGAGGGCATCGCCGGGCATCCGCCCGTCCGTCCGTTCCATCGCGGTCAGCGAGGGAACGCTTCGTCGCCAACGCGCGACCCCCGCCAGCGACGGCGTCCGCGTCGGCCCGCCCTTGGCATTGGGCGGAACAAATAAAAGTGGCGCCTGTTGGCACGGGGCCTAACCGACAAGACACAGCCACGCGACCGATTGGTTTACAATTCGCGCATCACGTGGGGGGAAGGGGCGAAGGAGAGCATAAACAAACGAATGACGACAAGTGCAGTGAACACCTGCTACTAGCGGGGGCTGTCTGCCCCGCGGACCGTGATGATGACGATGGCGGTGATCACGGTTCGCAGCCAACAGAAGTGCGGGGATTTGCCGGGTAAGTGTGCACGTATGCTGAACTTCTTTCGCACCGTACGTAGCCAACCGTGCTATGTGTGTGTGTGTGTACGTTGAACTTCTTTAGCACCGTACGTAGCCAACCGTGCTATGTGTGTGTGTGTACGTTGGACTTCTTTTGCACCATACATAGCCAACCGTGCGATGTGTGTGTGTGTGTATACGTTGAACTTCTTTAGCACCGTACGTCGCCAACCGTGCTATGTGTGTATAAGTTGAACTTCTTTCACACCGTACGTAGCCAACAGTGCTGTGTGTGTACGTTGAACTTCTTTAGCACCGTACGTCGCCGGCCGTGCTATGTGTGTGTGTGTGTATAAGCCAACCGTGCTATGTGTGTGTGTGTACGTTGAACTTCTTTAGCACCGTACGTCGCCGGCCGTGCTATGTGTGTGTGTATAAGTTTAACTTATTTCGCACCGTACGTAGCCAACCGTGCTATGTGTGTGTATAAGTTGAACTTCTTTCGCACCGTACGTAGCCGACCACGCTAATCGTAGGTGCGGGGGGGGCGGGTAAGGACAACAGACTAAACACAAAAAGCAGTTCTAAAGAAATGAGTTTGTCACTCATGGATGATTTGAAAGTGCAAAGCTCTAAGGGCTTGCTAAAATATCGAAAGGAAGCTTGTTGTGCAATAATGGTCGCCCAGGCTCAGCCGTGGTGAGCTTCCGAGATCGCAGGCGCACACACACACGTGTGAACGCACACACACACACACGTGTGAACGCACACACACACACACGTGTGAACGCACACACACACACGTGTGAACGCACACACACACACACGTGTGAACGCACACACACACACACACGTGTGAACGCACACACACACACACACACGTGTGAACGCACACACACACACGCGCGTGAACACACACACACACACACGTGCGTGAACACACACACACACACACGTGTGAACACACACACACACACGTGTGAACGCACACACACACACGTGTGAACGCACACACACACACGTGTGAACGCACACACACACACACGTGTGAACGCACACACACACACGTGTGAACGCACACACACACACGTGTGAACGCACACACACACGTGTGAACGCACACACACACACACGTGTGAACGCACACACACACACGCGTGAACGCACACACACACACACGCGTGAACACACACACACACACGTGTGAACGCACACACACACACGTGTGAACGCACACACACACACACGCGTGAACACACACACACACGTGTGAACGCACACACACACACGTGTGAACGCACACACACACACACGTGTGAACGCACACACACACGTGTGAACGCACACACACACGTGTGAACGCACACACACACACACGCGTGAACACACACACACACACGTGTGAACGCACACACACACACGTGTGAACGCACACACACACACACACACGCGTGAACGCACACACAAGCACACACACGCGTGTACAACTACAACCGACATTCGCCACTAGGTGGCGGTGACGTCACTACGGCGCTTGTGCCAGGCTACGTGCACGTTAAGGCCACGTGAAGTGTCAAACGCCCGCTGGCAGGTGGTCACAGGACAGACCCAGCAGGTGCCATGGGCTGACTGCCCCCTACTGGGCCAACTTGTGCGTACGCACACACACGCGTGTGTACACGCACACACGCATGTACGCGCGCACACACACATGCTAAGCACAAAAAGCAATTCTGAAGCAATGAGATTTCAATCTAGATGATGATTTAAAAGTGCGTAGCCTCCAGTGGGTCCCAATATCGGAAGGAAGAACGGCATTTCAGACGGCCGCAGAAGCGCATCCGAGAGCGCCGCGCGATGATGTGGAGGCTGCCGTCTTTTGTTTGCCGAAAATCCGCCGGTGCTGCTGCTGCCGCGAGGATGACCGGAGTTTGCGTGGCGATGGTTCAAGCTCCTTGCCACAAGCACGACCAACAACTACCAACGCGAGTCCCAGCTTAGCCCGAGTTGTCACCGCCGTCGCCTCCACCACTACCGCCGCCGCCGCCCTCCACCGCCACCGCCACCACCACCGCCGCTGCCACCGCCGCCACCGCCGCCGCCTCCACCACCGCCGCCACCACCACCGCTGCCACCTCAACCACCGCCGCCACCACCACCGCCGACACCGCCGCCACCACCACCACCGCTGCCACCTCAACCACCGCCGCCTCCACCACCGCCACCTCAACCACCGCCACCACCACCGCCGACACCGCCGCCACCACCGCCGCTGCCGCCACTATCACCACCGACCCAACCACCTCCATCCGCCACCGACCCCCACCACCACCACCGCTGCCACCTCAACCACCGCCGCCACCGCCACCGCCGCCACCGCCACCGCCGACACCGCCGCCGCCACCACTATCACCACCGACCCAACCACCTCCATCCACCACCGACCCCCACCACCACCACCGCTGCGTCCGCGCCCTACCGGCTGATCTCCTTGTACTGCGCCAACTCCTCGATGTACAGCAGGTCGTGGAAGCGCCGGCGGTAGTTCTCGGCGCGCAGCGGCCGCTGCAGCGCCGGGCTGGAGAAGAGGCCGAGCGGCAGCTCCGGCACGCGGTACAGCTGGGTGGGGCTCGGCGCACCGCCCTCCTCCTCGGCGGCCGCGCCGGGGATCAGCGCGGCGGGCACCCCGACGGGCACGCCGAACTCCACGATGGTCACCGATGGGTTGCCGGCGTCCCACCAGTCGCACGACAGCAGCTGGAGGTCCTCCTCGGCGCTCGGCACTGTGGGAGTGGGGGGGGGAGAGGAAGATGAGGGGTGGGGAGATGAGGGGTGGGGAGATGAGGGGCGGGGAGATGAGGGGTGGGGAGATGAGGGGGCGGGGAGATGAGGGGTGGGGAGATGAGGGGCGGGGAGATGAGGGGTGGGGAGATGAGGGTGGGGAGATGAGGGGTGGGGAGATGAGGGGCGGGGAGATGAGGGGCGGGGAGATGAGGGGCGGGGAGATGAGGGGGGGGGAGAGGAGGGGCGGGGAGATGAGGGGGCGGGGAGATGAGGGGTGGGGAGATGAGGGTGGGGAGATGAGGGGCGGGGAGATGAGGGGTGGGGAGATGAGGGGGCGGGGAGATGAGGGGTGGGGAGATGAGGGGCGGGGAGATGAGGGGTGGGGAGATGAGGGTGGGGAGATGAGGGGTGGGGAGATGAGGGGCGGGGAGATGAGGGGCGGGGAGATGAGGGGCGGGGAGATGAGGGGTGGGGAGATGAGGGGCGGGGAGATGAGGGGGCGGGGAGATGAGGGGTGGGGAGATGAGGGTGGGGAGATGAGGGGCGGGGAGATGAGGGGCGGGGAGATGAGGGGCGGGGAGATGAGGGGCGGGGAGATGAGGGGCGGGGAGATGAGGGGCGGGGAGATGAGGGGCGGGGAGATGAGGGGCGGGGAGATGAGGGGTGGGGAGATGAGGGGCGGGGAGATGAGGGGTGGGGAGATGAGGGTGGGGAGATGAGGGGCGGGGAGATGAGGGGTGGGGAGATGAGGGGTGGGGAGATGAGGGGTGAGGAGATGAGGGGTGGGGAGATGAGGGTGGGGAGATGAGGGGGCGGGGAGATGAGGGGGCGGGGAGATGAGGGGTGGGGGAGATGAGGGGTGGGGAGATGAGTGACACATGGATGCGTACGGGGATTGGTGAGGATGAGCAGGAATGCAAGGAAGGCACACACGGTGATGTCACGGGGGTTGGGGGGTCGGGGTGACACGTGGGAACTTAAAACACAAAAACTCATCAAATACAAAGAAACCGCGGCCCCTCACCCAGCGTGTCAGCCGTGTGCACCGTGAGGCTGCGAGCCAGCACAGGCCAGCAGCCAAAGTCGAACACCACCGTCTGCCGGAACGTGCCGTACACGTCCGTGGAGAACTCCACGCTCACACGGTACGCGCCCCTCGCTCCTCCGCCGTCATCGCCGCCGCCGCCGCCGCCGCCGTCGCCCGCCGCCCACTCCTGCCTGCCGCCGCCGGATCCCGCCGGCGCGGCCGCGACGCCGTCGGCGGCCGCCCCGTTCGCTCGCCGCCCCGAGCCTCGCGAGGCCTCGGAGGGGCCGCCGGCGCCGGGGGGCCGGTGGGAGGCCGCGGCCGAGTCCGCGGCGTTGGGGTCGCCGCACGGGGTCGGAGGGCGGCCCGAGGCGCCCGGGGAGTCGCCGGCGTCGGAGCTGGCGTCGCGCGGCACCACGGAGGCGACGTGGAAGTGCGGGCGGTGCGAGTCGTAGAGCAGCACCACGCGTAGCAGGGAGCGCGGCGGCTGGAGAGGGACAGGGACACGGCGACAACGATGACGACGACGACGATGTCGGTAACGGCGGTAACGACGGCGATGTTGATGATGACAACGGCGATAACGATGATGCTGCTGATAACGAAAACAGCGATCGTGCACAGGGAGGAGGGAGGACAGACAGAGAGAGAGAGAGAGAGGACGCAGCAGGAGATGAGAGAGAGAGAGGCGAGATGATGTGGGGCTAGGCCACATTGACACGAGTGTCAGGGGTGGGAGATTGTTGGCCTGCGATCCAGCAGCGGAATGATCCTGAGGGCGACGACGGTGCAGCGAGCGTCCCACCTTGCACGCAAGCGCGAACACCCAGGTGGTGCTGAATCTCTTGCTGCTCACGGCGAGCGTGAGGTCCTGCGAGTGGCTCACGTCCACCCCGTCCACAAACTCGCTCAGCTGGGAACGCACAGACGCAGCGAAGACAGATTCACCCCCACCCCCCTCCCGTGCCCACCACCCCACGTAGCCTTCACCAGAACGCCGTGGCACACACACACACACGAGGGGTTGAGCGGCCAGCACCACGCCTGACCCGACCGCCTTTCGACTGCCCCCTCCCGCCCAAACACACCGCGCACCGGGCGCTCATTTCAAGCCGAGTCGACCTAGGGGAGGGCCCCCTGGCACCGGTTCAGATATTCGCCACTGTTATTGCGGGAATCGAATTCGAGGAATGTTCACGCGCACGCACAAAGACAAAGATCCCCCGTATAGCCTCAACAGACTGTTGGGGCAAGTGCTGTTAACGAGCACCCACGCACAAACGCACGCACGCACGCACGCAACCGCGGGGAGAGAGACCACGCAAACTCCAGATATAAAGCAGGGATCCATCAGGGTCGGGATCGAACCCACGGCTTCCTGCATACCAGGTGAGGGAGTTACCGATGATAACAATGCTGACGACGACGATGACGACGACGACGATGACGACGACAACGATGACTATGACGACAACAATGGCGACAACGATGACGATGACGACGGCCCACTCACCACCGCCTCGGGATTGGGCGCCGTCATCCAGCGCTCGATGAGGCTCTCCGAGTACCCGAGCGCCGCCTCCTGCCCCCCGCACGGCGTCTCCCCGCCGCCGCCGGCGCCGCCGGCGCCGCCGCCGCCGCCGCCATCGCCGCGCGCGCCGGCACGGATGGCGTGACGCCGCCGCCACTCGCCCAGCTCGGCCTCCGAATGCGCGCAGTCGCACTGGGGCCCCAGCGTGCACCAGCCCAGCTCCAGGAACCTGCGGGAGAGGGGGGGGGTGTAGCGACGACGGCGTGGGGAGGAGAGGACGATCGTGATCGTGACCGCGACGACGACGGCCGACAAAGAACGAACCCAGAATCGGAAGGGGAATCTTCGGGAGTTGCTTTTGGTACTCTACGAGTGAAGCCCATCAAAGCTAAGAAGCTGAGAAGCTCTCCAAGTAGCTCTTAGCTTCTCAGCTGCGGGGTAAAGGGGCGACTCGGTCCGGCGTCGAAGCGTTCCAAAACCACGGATTTTTAACAAAAGCCGCACTTAAGGATAATAAACAATCATGGCAATCAAGTCCTGCAACCTTACACTTCCCAACTTTTAAATCTAGGGTGAACACTAACGTCTTTAGAACTGCTATTTGTATTTAGTTTGTTGTCCTTCCCCAGATTGCCACGGTTGGCTACGTATGGTGCAAAAGAAGTTCAACGTACATACGTACAGCCCAGTACAATCGGACAGGCTGCAATTGTACACGGCTCCGAAAGGCCGTAAAACAGCATGTGAAGACAATTCACGCAAATATACAAAGTCGCAAGAGTCTAGGGGCGTGGTAGTGGTTGCCGGGGTATGATGTCATCACTCTGGCCGCACCAGCGGCCAATCGGCTGCCAGGAAGGCAACCGCCATGCAACATGGGCGCCGTGATGTCATAGCCGCGAGAGTGTCAGTCGGCCGGTGGCAGCCGTCAGTCTTTTTTAACTTGATTTGGTATTTGTATTCTGTATTTGTGACCGTAATTAACAAGCGAAAAAGTAATTAGCGATGGGCGAAGGCGTGAGTCGTCCCAACGACCCCGACGGTGGTCCCCTTGGCCTAACTCCGCGAGGCCCGCCCGTTCCAACGTGGGATCAGGCGTCACGAAACCCCGCCCCTCGCCCCCCCCCCCCCCCCCGATCCAGCAGTAACTAATTGGCGCGTTGTGTACGTGACAAACCTCACTGGCAATGGCGGAGCCAGGATTTTCAGGCACGGGGGGGGGCAACCCTTCCAGCAATGAGAAACGATAGGAGCTGTTAGTAAGTACGGAGTTGTTAGTAAGTGAGGACTTGTGTCCCTTGCGTTTTATTCGACGCGTGTGCGGCGATGGCGCGGCCCATCAATCGAGACTCGAATTCGAACCGCGTTGTGAGATTGGCACCGCGCTAGCTGAAGGTGTCGATGCCTTCAGGGAAGTCGTGGACTCTGTAGACGCAACTGCGCACAATTCTGTGAGTCGCTTATAAACCGCTTTGCCGTTACTTGTTGCCAATAATGGATTCAGACTATTGTCCTATCATCTCACAGAGTCCCTGGCACGTAATAACATGCTACACAGTGGCAGTGGGGGGGTCGCAGAATGACGATTCATCACTACTAAACCCCAATGATCCGATCGAAATTAGGGATTTCGATCGGACCATTGGGGCGGGCACGTGCCAACCCCCCCCCCCCCCCCCCCCCCCCCCCCCCCCCCCCCCCCCCCCCCCCCCACTGGCTCCACCAGTGCTCACTGGCCATGTCAGGTGGTGGTGGAGGGTTACGACACATTTATACCGACGCGCTCTAACCCAAAAACCTTCATATCATGAGTAATAATGGTCGCGAAAGCTTGCTACGTGTTAAACAAACACCCCCCCCCCCCCCCCCCCCCCCCCGATCGTCAGAAACTCGCGCATGATCGCGCGAGCTCCGCTATCACCCGCGGCGTCGGCGGGAGGCGACGGGAGGACGAATCGGTTGGGCGGGCAGTGAAGCGGGGAGGTGATGAAAGCGTTGCCGTCCGGGCTCACCTATGGCACAGCGCGTAGTCCTCGGGGTTGCTGACGCCCCTCGGGGGCGGCCGGTGCCTCCACTCGTACTCGCTGCCTAGGAGGGGCGGGCACGCGGGACAAAGATGAAGGCAAAGTTCCCCCCCGGCGAAGCCTTAACGGGCCTTTGGGGGCAAGTGCTGTTAAGCGAGGAGCAGCGCCTGTGAAGGCCGGCACGGCGCACGACGCGGGGGGGGGGGGGGGGGGGGGTGTCGTTGCCGGGCTCTGCGTCCGGCCGCCTTCGACTCCCCGGTGGCGATGTTTACTGCGCACCGCGCCAGGTACTCGTTTGAGGCCGAGTCGACCTAGGGGAGGGCCCAGGACCGGTTTGCATAATCGTCGCCAGCGTTGGCCGTGAGCGGGAATCTAACTCGAGTGGCGCTGACCGCGGCGTCACACCCACGAGTCGCCCGGGGTACGGGCGGTACCAACGGCATTACACTCGCGCCTCAAGAGCTAGAACAGCCTGGGGTTCGAATCCGGACTCGGGCGCCTTTCCGCGATGGCATTTATATAGTTTTGTTTCCAACCTGTTCTGCAGAGTGCGAGTGGCAGTCGTGTGAGAAAGTGTGTCAGCGAGTCTGAGAGTGAGCGAGCATGATGCGAGTTTATCAGCGAGCCTGAGAGTGAGTGAGCTAGCGTGCATGATGTGAGTGTGTCAGTGAGTCTGACAGCGAGTGAGCGAGCGTGCGTGATGCGAGCGTGTGTGAGCGAGTCTGAGAGTGAGCAAGTGAGAGTGCATGATGTGAGAATGAGTCTCAGCGAGTCCGAGTGAGCGAGCGAGTGTGGCGTGGAGGAGGCCGTGATGGCGTGGAGGAGACCGTTATGGCGGGGAGGAGGCCGTGATACACTCACTCATCTTACACTGACTCACTCACACATCATACACTGGGAGTGTCATGCTGCCAGCTATGGCTGCAAGTTTGGTCGTACATGTTATGTTTAGCATTTATTGTTCAATTTGAATCACAGTTGCTATGATTACTGTTGTTACATTGTTTTTATAGCTTTATTTTGGTGATTTCGAAAACACACGGTTAAGCCATGTTTCTTGCGGAAGTGCGGAGTTGGCCTGATAACTTTAATCTAAATTGTCTTATGGTTGTTATTGTTTGACTTGCATCACACTGGGGATTTTTGCACACAGCGTTGTAATACGGTGGGGTTTTATTTTTTCTGGAAGATTTGCTGGTTTATCCAGGCTGTTTCTGTTGCGCGTCGTCACTTTAAGATGTTTCTCTGTTCATGTTTTGTTTGTTGCGGTTGCACCCGACTCAAGAGCCGCATGGCTCACGGGGCTTATACCTAATAAATGAAACTTGATGATGTGAGTGTGAGTGTGTCAGCGAATCTAAGAGTAAGCGAGCATGCATGATGCGAGTGAGTCTCAGCGAGTCTGAGAGTGAGTGAGCATGCATGATGTGAGTGTATGTCGGCGAATCTGAGAGTGAGCGTGCATAATGTGAGTGTGTCAGCGAATCTAAGAGTGAGCGAGCGTGCATAATGTGAGTGTGAGTCTCAGCGAGTCTGAGAGTGAGTGAGTGAGCGTGCATGATGTGAGTGTGAGTCTCAACGAGTCTGAGAGTGAGTGAGCGTGCATGATGTGAGTGTGTGTGCGTCAGCGAGTCTGAGTGAGCGAGTGAGCGTGCATGATTCGAGTGTGTCAGCAAGTCTGACAGTGAGCGAGTGTGCATGATGCTAGTGTGAGTGTCAGCGAGTCTGAGAGTGAGCAAGTGAGCGGTAGTGAACTCACTCGTGTTCGCTCACTGGCGAACACTGGTGATTATCTGAACTGGTCCTGGGCCTCCCCTAGGTCGACCCAGCCTCAAATCAGTACCTGGTGCAGTACGTAAACATCGCCACTGGGGGACAAAGGCGGCCAGGCGTTTGTGCTGGCCACCCACCCCCTCGTGTGCCTTGCCAGCCTTCATAGGCGCTCGCCAACAAGCACTTGCAGCAACAGTCTGTTACGGCTATATGGAGGATCTTTGTCTTTTGTTTGTTTGTCTACAAAAGGTATTTGGTAGTCCTAATTAGCACTCAGCAAGGTAAACATACCACACCCTTGGGGCGAGAACCACGCCCAGGAGAGACATTTGACATGTATCGTTGTCTGCTTACCCTTTTAACACTAAAGTCAGCCCCTCTCTCTTTCTGTCGAGACCTTATCTGGTCTTTCGAGTTCCAACCCGGTTCAACAAATCCAACTTAAAACTCGAAATCAGTCGGCAGCATTTAAGGGGCGAGGATGTGACAGCTAGTTGTAAGTGTGGATGTTGAACTTAGATATCAGTTTGTCAATCGAGATTATTTAAAAGTATATAGCTCAAGTCGCTTCCTAACATCGTAAGGAAAGAGCGTTCCGGCCGGCCACGGAAGCGCATCTGAAGGGCGCGCGATGCGGCCACCGCCTTTGTTCGATGTTCCGTGATGTGCCCTAGCCACGAACTAAATGCCGTGAAATCATCCGAGCGGCAACGGAAGCTACTCCGCAATCCGCCGCACATCAACCGGAGGCGTTTTTCGTCGTCAGCAAATCTGAACAGGCACCGAGTTGTGAGCTGCTATGCATCCAGCCCTGCACCAAGGGGAAGTGGGATTCTTTTGTCGTTGTAAAAGCAAGCGACACCCGGCGATACGAATAAGATATTGCGCAACGAAGATCTGGGGCGGGGCCGAAGCAAGGAGCGCAATCATATCTTTCTCTCGTGTGGATACATAGCAGCAGATTAAAGATGTCATTATAGATGTTGTTATCCACTCAATTGTCTATTCTTGGTTCTTTCGGTAAAGTCGCGTTGAAGGGAAACAATAAAATAATAAAAATATAAAACAATAAAATTCTCACGACGTTTCGACTGCAACACAAGCAATCATCATCAGGTGTGAAAACCACAGCAAGAAAATTTGAAAAAAGTGGCGGTTATTTTTAACGTTAGCACCACGGAGAGCGATTTGACAGTTTGTTCAGATGATTGCTTGATGCTGATTGCTTGTGTTGCAGTCGAAACGTCGTGAGAATTTTTTGTTTTATATTTTAATTATTTTATTGTTTCCCTTCTATGCGGTGACTTTACCGAAAGAACCAAGAAAATGAATCCCTGCAGTCACGAAAGCTTTAAATCAAAACTCAATTGTCTGCTCAGACGCAGAGTTGATTTCGTCCGTTACTCCTTTAAAGAAGCGAAGACAGCGGGGTGCTTGCAATGTGGGTCGATCGTTTGAGAGTGGCGGCCACACTCGCGGGCTGCCGAATCTTCGATTCGCCATTTGTGGATCAGGTGGCCGCACGGGGAACGCGCTCGGAGCGGAAGCGAAATGCTACAACGGGAAGTAACTTCGTTCACAAGGACGAAATGAATTTCCTTGCAGCTAAACACTTGAGCACTCACTGTTTGCAAAGTCAATTTCCGACTTCGAATCGTCCTTCTGCAAAAAAACAGAAAAAAAACAGGCAAAAATCAAATTAGGACGAGGGTGCCATCCTCCTCGAAATAAACAAAGCCTCTCCTGGAAATTCCCAAAGAAGTTCCGACAGAAGGAGCTCCCAGGTACGCGGAGCATCAGAACCAGTGCCGGATTATCCTAGTAGCAAAAGTAGCTGCATACGCTACGGGCCCCGCACTTTCAAGGGCCCCGCGCTAAACGCTTTCAAGCTATCAATTCCGGTTCAGCGATTCTGCACTTGCTCTATTACTATAGTACTATACCGCCTTCATTTTTTATGAACGACCGGGTGTTTAAGGTTAGCGATTCGTCGTATTATCTGGCTGTATAGCAAATAAAAAAATACAATTACTTCACTGTGCAAGTTAAAAATTTGTGTTTTAATATTAATGTTTTTTTTATTTAGGGCCCCTTTATAACATCATGCTACAGGCCCTGCACTAGCTTAATCCGGCGCTGGTCAGAACTCGTGCCAAACGACAAAGAGCGGCACGACACGAAAAACCAAAAAACTAAAACGATTTATTTATTTTGCCGGTTAAAGGGCGACTGAGGTATGTAGTAGCTTTCCCCTTCACAAGCAACCTGCCCACCACAAATTTTAGCTTGACCAAGCGGCGGATCCCGTTGAAATGTATAATTTCCAAATACTTTTAAACGCGTGACGTTGATTCTAAATCTGGTGGGACGTGCACGTACAGTCATCGGAACAATAAAGGCTTAACCCGAGCCGGTTCCAAGCCTGATCACCAGCCGTGCTCGGGATTTCCATGAGGCCAGATGGTCGGCAAGCAAAAATAACAAGAAAAGACAATTTATTTTTTGTTCGAATTCGGTCGAGAAAAACTCCCGGTGATGTCTCCGCTGCTGCTGCTCCTGTAGGGGGCGTTATTCCATCTCCTGTGAAAAGTGAAGTGAGTGAGCGAGTGTGTGAGCGAGTGACTGCTACGTTGCCGATTTCATCGCTCCCATCTCGGCACCGTGGACGTCCCCACCACCCCCCCCCCCCGCCCCCCGATAGCCGGGACGCGTTCTACCCGAGCACCCTCCCCCCCCCCCACCGCTTTAGACAGGCATCGGCTACAAAAATAACAAGAGGAGCCAATGATTTTGTGTTCGAATTAGGCCCAAAAAAAAACTCAACATCTCAAGAGCCGCAAAGTGCAACGTGAACACGACGAGGAGGTGGCGGTTCGCTTTGAGTAACTGACGTCACGAAGAGGTCCCTTGAAAAGGAGCCGCACGCACGCACGGCTCTCGCAGCCGCGGGCTGCCAACCCCCCTGCCCCCACGCGCCTTTGGGAGCAACCGAGGGGCTTGAGCCTCCGCTGCTTTAGAGCCGTGGGCCAGAGCCGTGAGGCGTGATTAAGAACGGGACGCTGAATGTGCGGTGCTGCGTACCTTCATGTTCGTATCCGTATGCAGCACCTGCACAGCACAAACAGCACAGACACCACAACACTATTAATTTTATATAAATTATCACTTTAAATAACTGGTCACTTCTTTCTTGCCACCACGCCCCCCTCTCCCCCGGTTTCTTCCAGGTTGTACGCATCCTAGGAATCGCACTTAGAGCGGCGCTTTTTTTGCGTAAGCGCACCAGCGCCTCGCGTCGCCGCTCTCATCTCACTCGCTCCAAACGCTCCTCCCGCTGCAGTCTGGCCAACGGGGAACCCCCCCGGCCCACGTGCGAACAAAAGCCGGGAGGGGTGGGGGGGGGGGGTGCCACGCCACGCCGGCACGCTGGCAGACGGCGCGCCGCTCCTCGCGGCCGTCTGGAACGCCGCCCTGGCCTCGTTCAAGGTGGTCAAGATTAGGGCGTCGGAACAGCCACCAGGAGGGGAGGAGAGGAGCCTCGACGCCGCGTGGTGAACAGGAGACGGTGGCGGTCCCTTAACGAGTAACGTCGCAGCTCCATGCCGGCTCACGAGTCGCAGGTTTGCCGACCCCCGATCTAGAGCGAGAACTCATTTCTTGACAACTGCTTGTTGTTGTTGTTGTTGCTGTGTTTAGTCTGTTGTCCTTCACCCGCACCTCCGATCAGCGCGGTTGGCTACGTACGGTGCGAAAGAAGTCCGACATACGTACAAACTCCTATACGCGCCACTATAATACACTACACTATACATTGCACGACCACATGGTAAAACTACTATATACTAAACAACTATACACTATACCGTTGTTAGGAAGCCACTGGAGCTATGAACTTTCAAATCACCTAGATTGAAAAATAATTTCTTCACAACTGCTTGTTGTGTTTAGTTTGTTGTCCTTCTATCCCGCCCACCCCCCCCGCCCCCCCCCCCCCCCCCCCCCCCCCCCCAGCACTTCTGATTCTCGCGGTTGGCTACGGACGGTGCAAAAGATTTCGATTTAAAGCTTTCGTGACTGCAATGATTCATCTTCTTTGGTTCTTTCGGTAAAGTCACGTAGAATGAGAATAAAATAATAAATTGATAAAATAAAATAACACAATAATATTCTCACGACGTTTCGGCCACAACACAAGCGGCCTTCATCAGGTGAAGGGAGCGAGACTGTCTGGTAGGACAGCGCTGGAGTGAGAGAGCCACGTTCAGATCACGGCTTTTAAGCTGTGTGAGAGGAACAAAGAGCCTTGACGAAGGAATTAGCATAAAATTTAGCATTGAAAAGTCTGAATGATTAGCTTGTGACTGGTCACAGAAATAGCTATGTTAAAAGTTAAAGCATACACATCCGCAGAGGCACCCATTGTTAAAAGGAATTAGCATAGAATTTAGCATTGAAATAGCTAAATTAAGGCATTCGCTTGTAACTGCTACAGAAATAGTTACGTTGAAGTCAGAGCATACACATTCACCGAGGCACTTAGTACAAATCAAAACAGGAGAATTTAGCATTGAAATAACTAGGCGAATTTAGCATTGAAATAACTGGGTGATTTGCTAGTGACTGGTCACAGAAATGACTACACATCTGAGCTATTCACAGTGCTATATAGTGAACCAATAAAAACTAAAATATAAATTACCTTCATGTTATCAATAAACTCTATATTCTCCAATCAGCTAAGCTACCAACCATAAGTCGTTATATATCACAATGCTATATGGCGAAAAAATGGGTGGATTCTTACCCTCAAATTTCCGTACCACGGATAGCTACGGGCCCCGTTCAGACGGACGAGTTCGTCCATGGTCGGAACAGAGGCGGGGGAGAGAGACAGCTGCGAAGCCCTAGTATACTCCATGTTGTAAACCATACCATTAACCGTGGTGTGAGAGGTATTAAGAGGCAATGCTGGCGAAAGAGCTGCGGTCTGAAGGTCATCGTAAAATTACAATTAATTAAGAACAGAAATGATTTAACACATCTTTCCAGTGGTTACTAAGCCTGAATCCATCTTCTCGGTTGAAATTGTCTCTGTGCTTGTATATGTGAATGGCCTCATGAACGAATCTCTCATGGTAGCCAGTTGGTTTGCAAAGAACCTCCGTCTTGGAGAAGTCAATGTCATGTGAGCCCACTGAATTGTAACAGTGATCTGCCACGGCAGAGGAGTTCGTCTTACCGTGTTTCAAGTCTGCTTTATGTTCGCGGATGCGGTCCGAGATATGTCTTTTGGTTTCTCCAATGTAGCTACTACCACAGAGGCACTTTAGTTTGTAAACGCCCGGGTACTGTATGTCTGGAAGAGCATCTTTTACAGATGGAACTAAATCACGGATTTTGTGTACTGTGTTGAATCGGACCTGGATCTTGTGTTTATTCAGGATTTTGGAGATCTTTTTAGTGACCCCTGCAATGTAGGGTAAGGTGATGGTTTTGAGTGGCTCCACAAGAGGATCCTTCTTCATGACTGGAGTGATGGCTTTGCGGATTGTGTAGTCGGAGTAGCCATTAGCCCTGAGAGCCTGGTGTACGTGCTTGAGTTCACTGGTAATGTGTTCCTGGTCGGAAATGCATTGGGCTCTATGGTATAGAGTCTTGATGAGGCAGTTCTTCTGGGATGGATGGTGGTGGGAATCCGGTTTCAAGTAAGCATCTGTATGGGTAGCTTTCCTGTAGACAGAGTGGCTCATTGAACCATCATGTCTCCTTTTAATTAAGACATCCAGAAAGGGTAGTTTGCCATCTTTTTCGACCTCCATGGTAAATCTGATGGCTGGGTGTATGGAATTGATGTGGTCGCGGAATTGGTCTAGAGCAGGCTGGCCATGTGGCCAGATGACAAAGGTGTCATCAACGTACCTCTTCCATAAGGTCGGGCGTAGAGTGGCAGTCTGGATGGCGTCAGTTTCAAATTTTTCCATGAATACGTTGGCTACAACCGGAGATAGGGGGGAGCCCATTGGGGTGCCCTCAGTTTGTTTGTAGAAAGTTCCATTCCAGGTGAAGTATGTGTTGGTTAAGCAATGTCTCACCAGGGGGGGTACATCAGTATGCAGTCCTTGATGAACCAGGTCTTCAATTATAGCGATGGTGTCAGGTACCGGGACTTTGGTGAACAAGGACACCACAACAAAACTGACAAGCAGGTCGTTTGGGGACAGGGAAATGTCTTTGATTGTCGATACCAGGTGAGTAGAATTTAGTACCGCAGAGGTGGTTTTTCCAGTGAAAGGTCGCAGTATATCAGCCAGAAAACGTGCCAGTTTGTAGGTGGGTGAGCTGATAGTAGAGACGATGGGACGAAGGGGTGTATCTTCTTTGTGTATCTTTGGAAGGCCATATAATCTTGGTGGTCTGGCAGCAGAGGGTTTCAACAAGAACTGTTTGTTCTCATCAATTAATGCTGTTGAATCAGAGATAATTTTGTTCGTTTTGGTGACCAGGCTGTTGGTGGGATCTCTTTTTATTTTTGTATAGCTGCCATCGTTGAGTAGTTCTTGAATTTTGTTGTTATATTCTGTTTTGTCCATGATGACAGTGGCATTGCCTTTGTCGGCTGAGAGAACGACAATATCATCCCTCTTTTTTAATTGAGATAATTCAAAACGTTCGTCTTTGCTGATGTTGCTAGGTGGCAACTTAGCGTTTTTGAGGGTTGCAGCGATTTCAGATCTTGCTACGTCTGCAGAGATGTGACTCAAGCCCTTGAGTGCAACGTCGACATGGGCAATGATATCATTAACCGGTAAGTGTCTCGGTGTGACAGCAAAGTTTAGACCTTTAGCTAAAACGGATTTCAGACCATCAGAAATGGAACTGTTACTGCGATTAATTACGACTTTGTTGACGTCTATCTTTTCGGTGTGTGGATCCGATTTTTTGCTGGAGAGGTGATTGAATTTGGAAATCAAATTGTCCCTACATTTGTTCGACATAGTGGCAGCCGAAGAGGTAGTCATATTGTCTACATGTTCCCAATCCGATGTAGACATTGTTGCTGTCAATTTTAAGTGTGATTTGTAGAGTGTCTTGTCTAACTGATCAACAAAGTCGTAATTAATCGCAGTAACAGTTCCATTTCTGATGGTCTGAAATCCGTTTTAGCTAAAGGTCTAAACTTTGCTGTCACACCGAGACACTTACCGGTTAATGATATCATTGCCCATGTCGACGTTGCACTCAAGGGCTTGAGTCACATCTCTGCAGACGTAGCAAGATCTGAAATCGCTGCAACCCTCAAAAACGCTAAGTTGCCACCTAGCAACATCAGCAAAGACGAACGTTTTGAATTATCTCAATTAAAAAAGAGGGATGATATTGTCGTTCTCTCAGCCGACAAAGGCAATGCCACTGTCATCATGGACAAAACAGAATATAACAACAAAATTCAAGAACTACTCAACGATGGCAGCTATACAAAAATAAAAAGAGATCCCATCAACAGCCTGGTCACCAAAACGAACAAAATTATCTCTTTAACACGTAGGCTTTCGCGACCAATATTATTCATAATAAAGGTTTTTGGGTTAGATGCTGGAAGTATTTACCAGCGAAACGTCGTACTCAAACTGTAAATGTGGATTAACTCTTCAACACACCGGTGGGCTGAAGTAGTGAATTATTTGTCTTTTGTCAACGTGACACTTTTCTTTGCTGATTGGCCGTGTCGGGTGGTGGAGGGTTACGACACATTTATAAATAAACGCGATCTAACCCAAAAACCTTTATTATGAATAATATTGGTCGCGAAAGCCTACGTGTTAAACTGACTAACCTCTATGGGGAGGATACTTTTCTTAAAACCAGAAAATTAGAGAAGCTTCGCATTAAGCGGATGAAATTGATATCTTCACTGGCGTTCCTCAAAAGGTGCAGAGATTCAAAGGTAATACCAAACGCAGTTAAAATAACACATCACATAAAGTCTTCTAAAGCTAACCAAATACTACACAAAGCTAGCGAATTATTATTAATAGAGAGAATACAGCACAATAGGAGTGAATTATCTTACATTTCGGAATCGCTAAAGCAGTTACACTTAGATATAA